CATTTCCTCCTCCAATCTCTGCTAGCCTGCCCTCCTCTCGGGGTCCATCCATTTCCTCAAACAATCTCTGCTAGCCTGCCCTCCTCTCGGGGTCCGTCCATTTCCTCCTCCAATCTCTGCTAGCCTGCCCTCCTCTCGGGGTCCATCCATTTCCTCCTCCAATCTCTGCTAGCCTGCCCTCCTCTCGGGGTCCATCCATTTCCTCAAACAATCTCTGCTAGCCTGCCCTCCTCTCGGGGTCCATCCATTTCCTCAAACAATCTCTGCTAGCCTGCCCTCCTCTCGGGGTCCATCCATTTCCTCAAACAATCTCTGCTAGCCTGCCCTCCTCTCGGGGTCCATCCATTTCCTCCTCCAATCTCTGCTAGCCTGCCCTCCTCTCGGGGTCCATCCATTTCCTCCTCCAATCTCTGCTAGCCTGCCCTCCTCTCGGGGTCCATCCATTTCCTCAAACAATCTCTGCTAGCCTGCCCTCCTCTCGGGGTCCGTCCATTTCCTCCTCCAATCTCTGCTAGCCTGCCCTCCTCTCGGGGTCCGTCCATTTCCTCCTCCAATCTCTGCTAGCCTGCCCTCCTCTCGGGGTCCATCCATTTCCTCCTCCAATCTCTGCTAGCCTGCCCTCCTCTCGGGGTCCATCCATTTCCTCAAACAATCTCTGCTAGCCTGCCCTCCTCTCGGGGTCCGTCCATTTCCTCCTCCAATCTCTGCTAGCCTGCCCTCCTCTCGGGGTCCATCCATTTCCTCCTCCAATCTCTGCTAGCCTGCCCTCCTCTCGGGGTCCATCCATTTCCCTCCTCCAATCTCTGCTAGCCTGCCCTCCTCTCGGGGTCCATCCATTTCCTCCTCCAATCTCTGCTAGCCTGCCCTCCTCTCGGGGTCCGTCCATTTCCTCCTCCAATCTCTGCTAGCCTGCCCTCCTCTCGGGGTCCATCCATTTCCTCCTCCAATCTCTGCTAGCCTGCCCTCCTCTCGGGGTCCATCCATTTCCTCAAACAATCTCTGCTAGCCTGCCCTCCTCTCGGGGTCCATCCATTTCCTCAAACAATCTCTGCTAGCCTGCCCTCCTCTCGGGGTCCATCCATTTCCTCAAACAATCTCTGCTAGCCTGCCCTCCTCTCGGGGTCCATCCATTTCCTCCTCCAATCTCTGCTAGCCTGCCCTCCTCTCGGGGTCCATCCATTTCCTCCTCCAATCTCTGCTAGCCTGCCCTCCTCTCGGGGTCCATCCATTTCCTCAAACAATCTCTGCTAGCCTGCCCTCCTCTCGGGGTCCGTCCATTTCCTCCTCCAATCTCTGCTAGCCTGCCCTCCTCTCGGGGTCCGTCCATTTCCTCCTCCAATCTCTGCTAGCCTGCCCTCCTCTCGGGGTCCATCCATTTCCTCCTCCAATCTCTGCTAGCCTGCCCTCCTCTCGGGGTCCATCCATTTCCTCAAACAATCTCTGCTAGCCTGCCCTCCCCCTCGGGGTCCATCCATTTCCTCAAACAATCTCTGCTAGCCTGCCCTCCTCTCGGGGTCCGTCCATTTCCTCCTCCAATCTCTGCTAGCCTGCCCTCCTCTCGGGGTTCGTCCATTTCCTCCTCCAATCTCTGCTAGCCTGCCCTCCTCTCGGGTCCGTCCATTTCCTCCTCCAATCTCTGCTAGCCTGCCCTCCTCTCGGGGTCCGTCCATTTCCTCCTCCAATCTCTGCTAGCCTGCCCTCCTCTCGGGGTCCATCCATTTCCTCAAACAATCTCTGCTAGCCTGCCCTCCTCTCGGGGTCCGTCCATTTCCTCCCTCCAATCTCTGCTAGCCTGCCCTCCTCTCGGGGTCCGTCCATTTCCTCCTCCAATCTCTGCTAGCCTGCCCTCCTCTCGGGGTCCATCCATTTCCTCAAACAATCTCTGCTAGCCTGCCCTCCTCTCGGGGTCCGTCCATTTCCTCAAACAATCTCTGCTAGCCTGCCCTCCTCTCGGGGTCCGTCCATTTCCTCCTCCAATCTCTGCTAGCCTGCCCTCCCTCTCGGGGTCCGTCCATTTCCTCAAACAATCTCTGCTAGCCTGCCCTCCTCTCGGGGTCCATCCATTTCCTCAAACAATCTCTGCTAGCCTGCCCTCCTCTCGGGGTCCGTCCATTTCCTCCTCCAATCTCTGCTAGCCTGCCCTCCTCTCGGGGTCCGTCCATTTCCTCCTCCAATCTCTGCTAGCCTGCCCTCCTCTCGGGGTCCATCCATTTCCTCAAACAATCTCTGCTAGCCTGCCCTCCTCTCGGGGTCCGTCCATTTCCTCAAACAATCTCTGCTAGCCTGCCCTCCTCTCGGGGTCCGTCCATTTCCTCCTCCAATCTCTGCTAGCCTGCCCTCCTCTCGGGGTCCGTCCATTTCCTCAAACAATCTCTGCTAGCCTGCCCTCCTCTCGGGGTCCGTCCATTTCCTCAAACAATCTCTGCTAGCCTGCCCTCCTCTCGGGGTCCGTCCATTTCCTCAAACAATCTCTGCTAGCCTGCCCTCCTCTCGGGGTCCGTCCATTTCCTCAAACAATCTCTGCTAGCCTGCCCTCCTCTCGGGGTCCGTCCATTTCCTCAAACAATCTCTGCTAGCCTGCCCTCCTCTCGGGGTCCGTCCATTTCCTCCTCCAATCTCTGCTAGCCTGCCCTCCTCTCGGGGTCCGTCCATTTCCTCAAACAATCTCTGCTAGCCTGCCCTCCTCTCGGGGTCCGTCCATTTCCTCCTCCAATCTCTGCTAGCCTGCCCTCCTCTCGGGGTCCGTCCATTTCCTCCTCCAATCTCTGCTAGCCTGCCCTCCTCTCGGGGTCCGTCCATTTCCTCCTCCAATCTCTGCTAGCCTGCCCTCCTCTCGGGGTCCGTCCATTTCCTCAAACAATCTCTGCTAGCCTGCCCTCCTCTCGGGGTCCATCCATTTCCTCAAACAATCTCTGCTAGCCTGCCCTCCTCTCGGGGTCCGTCCATTTCCTCCTCCAATCTCTGCTAGCCTGCCCTCCTCTCGGGGTCCATCCATTTCCTCAAACAATCTCTGCTAGCCTGCCCTCCTCTCGGGGTCCGTCCATTTCCTCAAACAATCTCTGCTAGCCTGCCCTCCTCTCGGGGTCCGTCCATTTCCTCAAACAATCTCTGCTAGCCTGCCCTCCTCTCAGGGTCCATCCATTTCCTCAAACAATCTCTGCTAGCCTGCCCTCCTCTCGGGGTCCGTCCATTTCCTCAAACAATCTCTGCTAGCCTGCCCTCCTCTCGGGGTCCGTCCATTTCCTCAAACAATCTCTGCTAGCCTGCCCTCCTCTCCGGGGTCCATCCATTTCCTCAAACAATCTCTGCTAGCCTGCCCTCCTCTCGGTGTCCGTCCATTTCCTCAAACAATCTCTGCTAGCCTGCCCTCCTCTCGGGGTCCGTTTCCTCAAACAATCTCTGCTAGCCTGCCCTCCTCTCGGGGTCCATTTCCTCAAACAATCTCTGCTAGCCTGCCCTCCTCTCGGGGTCCATTTCCTCAAACAATCTCTGCTAGCCTGCCCTCCTCTCGGGGTCCATCCATTTCCTCAAACAATCTCTGCTAGCCTGCCCTCCTCTCGGGGTCCATTTCCTCAAACAATCTCTGCTAGCCTGCCCTCCTCTCGGGGTCCATTTCCTCAAACAATCTCTGCTAGCCTGCCCTCCTCTCGGGGTCCATTTCCTCAAACAATCTCTGCTAGCCTGCCCTCCTCTCGGGGTCCATCCATTTCCTCAAACAATCTCTGCTAGCCTGCCCTCCTCTCGGTGTCCGTCCATTTCCTCAAACAATCTCTGCTAGCCTGCCCTCCTCTCGGGGTCCATTTCCTCAAACAATCTCTGCTAGCCTGCCCTCCTCTCGGGTCCATTTCCTCAAACAATCTCTGCTAGCCTGCCCTCCTCTCGGGGTCCATTTCCTCAAACAATCTCTGCTAGCCTGCCCTCCTCTCGGGGTCTGTCCATTTCCTAAAGAATCTCCCTAAAATTCCTCTGCTTCTCAGTTCATTAGGGCTTGGACGGCCAGTGGAAAATCGGATTGCAAATTCCGGAAAAGGACGGAAAAAGAGGGGGCTTTTGGGGGTCGAAAATGGGGGTGGAGTGCCTTCCCTAAAGAGGCTCGATTTTCGCCTTTACGAAGCGGTTAGAAGCGAGAGAGAGAGAGAGAGAGAGAGAGAGAGCCAAGAAAGTCCCCCCAAATTCGTGGGCCATCCAGTGACCCCTATGCCGACCCATGCTTTTTTTGTTTGTTTTACAGGGACTGGGTAGGCATGGCTTTGGATTTTTGGTTATGGATTCGCTAAGGACGCAACCTAACGCGTCGCGCATTTCGGTTGCGGCTCTCTAATGTATTTTTTAGGTCGAGCGGGCGCTGCATCGTTTCTACGGCGAGCCGGGCGCATTTTCACAGCACCCACGCAGTACGTAAATCATTGGCTTTGAGATTTAATAAGTTGAAACCTGGCCAAATCTAGTATTTGGCATATTAAAAACGGTTGAAAAATCGAAGTTTCATGTTGTGATATTTAGAAACATCAATCTTTCCCACCGCTTTCAGCAAATCGTCTTCTCGTCCGCCTCTACTGGGCCCTCCGCTCTTTCCAATTCCACTTTCTGTACCGCGGCGAAGGTATGTGAAATTGTATTAAAGGGCCGGGCATGGCTAGGCTAGGATTTTTGGCTGAGAGAGAAAGAGAGAGTGAGAGAGAAAGAGAGAGAGAGAGAGGGAGGGTGATAGAGCGCGAGTAGGTGAGAGTGAGAGGAAGTGAGGGAGAGTGAGAGCGAGGAGATAGTGAGAGAGTGAGAAAGTGAGAGAGAGAAAGGGAAAGAGAGAGAAAGAAGGAAAGAGAGCGAGAGCGAGCGAGCGAGCGAGAGAGAGCGAGAGAGACGAGAGAGCTTTCGATAGATACCTAAATCGTCAAAATCAAGTCGCTAGCTAGGGAGGGGTTTTTGGGACACCCTGTTCCCGAAGGACCCGCGAAAGGCAAGGTAGCTTTTCAGAGCTGGCTACGGAGGATTTCTCCGAGATGCGATGGGAGGTGGCCATCCATCCACCACCCCTCGATGTTCTCGTCAAAAATACGGGTAAGGCACCGCCCTGAATTTTTCCGGAATTTTGCTGCGTACGCCGCTTTGGTCACGAAATCGGTTCTTTTAGGGTTCGACCGCATGTGGCTGAAGTACATGTACGGACGGTTTAAAAATGTAAGTAAAAGGGAGAAGAAAATAGGAGGGCAGGCTAGCAGAGATTGGAGGAGGAAATGGACGGACCCCGAGAGGAGGGCAGGCTAGCAGAGATTGGAGGAGGAAATGGACGGACCCCGAGAGGAGGGCAGGCTAGCAGAGATTGGAGGAGGAAATGGACGGACCCCGAGAGGAGGGCAGGCTAGCAGAGATTAAAGGAGGAAATGGACGGACCCCGAGAGGAGGGCAGGCTAGCAGAGATTGGAGGAGGAAATGGACGGACCCCGAGAGGAGGGCAGGCTAGCAGAGATTGGAGGAGGAAATGGACGGACCCCGAGAGGAGGGCAGGCTAGCAGAGATTGGAGGAGGAAATGACTTTCTCGATTCAGGAATGCCCCAGCGGCCGGATGAAAGAAGCGGAATTCAAGCGAATCTTTGCGCTAATAATCGCCCCGGAACGCGCATCCGATCAATATTTGGGTCGTATGTTTCGGTAGTTTATTAAAACCGTGTATATTTTTGTCAAATTCATAAAAAATGTAACCCTTTTAGCGCCTTTTCCAATGGCCACGAGGAGAACGCGATGATCACGTTTTCGGTGGGTTTTCGATTAGCGGAAACACGATACTCAGAAAAGAATGTTTCGGAATGCGATTCGCCACAATTGACACCGACACTGTTAATTCCTCGTTAGCATACTTCACGTCCCAAGCCCCCTCCCCCCCACCTAGCGGTCCGCAGTCGATTCCGATTTTTATGATTTAGGTATCTATCGAAACCTCTCGAAAAGGCGAGAAAACAAGCGGGTTTCGTAGTCGAAAATTAACTCTTGTTCCATCGATATATGGAGGTTTTTCTAAAAAACCGGTAATTTTTCAACTGGAATTTCGCAGTTAGGATACCGGTCTTGCATAAATCAGGAGTTTTTATGGTTTTTGGACGTAACATTAGCGAATAAAAATGCATAATAATGAAAATGAACCTTCCTTGTTTTCTCGCCTGTTCGAGAGTTTTCGATAGATACCTAAATCGTAAAAATCGGAATCGACTGCGGACCACTAGGGGAGGGGTTTTTTTTTGGGACACCCTGTAGACTATGCATCTATTGATTTTCCGGAGCCCCTTCCTCCAAGAATCTCTGCTAGCCTGCCCTTTTCAGAGTCTTATCCACAGTCTCTCTTTCTCTTCCCGTGATACCCCAGAAGCGAATGCCGAGTGGACGATCAGAATCGTCACCGGAAGTCGCGACAAGACGGCCTTTAATTTGGCGGTGGGTCGATTTGTAGTACTTCGATTTTAACGATATTCAAGTAAATGATGGGAATCAATATGACCGTGGTTTGTTGTGTTGATATCGTTTTTTGGTTCTTTTGCATTATCGGGGGGCGTGAAAAATTTTTTTCTTCGGATTTTTTACTATTGCTATAATTATAAATTTACTATAAAATCACCGATTTTTTAACAAAATCTCGACTTTTCAAGGCTTTTGAAAATCTTTTAAATCGTGTTTCTCGATCAAGAAGAGTTATATATTACCAAAAACGCCTTTAAGGCCCGCCATTAAATTACTAGACATTTCTTATTCAAAAAGGCCCCCCCGCCCCGATAATGCCGCAGAACCTGTATCTGCTTCAGAATCTCGATACTCAAAAAAATGCAGGAATTCTCGGACTTTGCGCAGACGGTGTTCGCGCTGCAGGAGGGGCGGACGACGGTTGCTGATGATAGAGGAGACAAAGAGACCGTCGAACAGAGGGCATTTACTATATTTAAGGTACGTTTGGGAAGGGGGAGAGGAGCAAATCGATTACGCAGTGAAACAGGGTTACTTTCAAAGTCTTGAAACTTCAAACTTTCTAAATTTTATGATGTGGGTTCTTATGCAAATAAGTCATTTATTTTGCTACCATAGTGTCGAAATTCATAATGCCGAAATTCAGAATATCGGCATTTTTTGCATTGGATTCGGAGGTTTTTCCGGGGAATCCTTTATGTAAATTTTGATACTATCAACTTTCGGAATTACGAAATTTCGACATTATGAATTTCGACATACCGAATTTCGGCATTGTCACATTTCGACGTTATGAATTTTCGACATATTATTTTCGACATTTTAAAAGCAATCGGTATACGAATAACAAGGCATACGAATACTGGTTAGAAACGCTATTTTGACCCGCCAGCTATTTAACAATTTATTGAAAAATAAATGTTTCAGGCTACAAATCAGCTTGACAATTCGAAAGCCCGCAAGTTTCCTCTTCAAAAATTTATAAAAAATTTTCCAGGAATTAGACGCGGACGGCGACGGGCTGGTCGATACCGTGGAGATGGCCCGCTTTTTTCAGGTTTGCTAGTTGATCTTGGCATTTAGAAAAATTATTTTTTTAGCCGATCGGGAAGAGCAAGAAATTCTAAACAAATCAGGTTCTTAAAAAAAATTTTTAACACGAGCCCTATTCTACATTGAAAGGTCCACAAAAATCCCTTCTTCAAAATTCTATTTTTCCCGGTTACCGTAGTGTTTTCCCATTTTTTTAGATACACATTTTCGGCAGAATTTTTTTGCGCTATCGACAGCCTTATAATAGTTGTTTAAAAATAAGTGAGACCAAAAAAAGCATAAATAAGTTGTTTCAGCGTTTGGAGGAGCGGCAGAGGACCGAGTATCTTTAATTGGGCGACAGCTTGCTTGAGCTAATTACCATCGGATTCCGGTTGTTAAATAAATGCATTGGCAAATAAATATAATAGTAATTGATAAATCAATATAAAAAGTGTATAAAAATATGCAAATAAAAAAACAAATAGCACCGTCTTTCCTCCTCTTTCCCTCTATTTCTCTCGTACACTCTCTCTCCCAATCTTTCTATCTCTCTCCTCTTTCTCCTCTCTCTCTCTCTCTCTCTCTCTCTCTCTCTCTCTCTCTCTCTCTTTCTATCTCTCTTCTCTCTTCTCTCTCGCTCTCTCTCTCTCTCCGTTCTCTCTTTATCAGAGAAAATATCAGTTCGTAAATAAATATAAAAAGTACAAGAAAATATGTAAATACCGAAATAGCTCTCTTTGTGCTTCTTTGCCTCGCTTTCTCTCTCTCTCTCTCTCTCTCTCTCTCTCTCTCTCTCTCTCTCTCTCTCTCGTTCTCTCTCTCCCTCTCTCTCACTGTTTCTCACTGTCTCTCTCATTTTCTCTCTCTTTCTCTCATATCACTCGCTCTCTCTCGCTCTCTCGCTCTCTCTCTCTCTCTCTCGCTCTCTCTCTCTCTCTCTCTCTCTCTCTCTATCCCCCCAGCCGCCCCGTTTCCAAATAAACCCCAAAATGGGGGCTGCCGGGAGAGGGGGATGTGCCATTTTCCGGGGGGCTTTTCAACCCCGAACAAATCCCCCTCCAAATACCCTCGATTCCGCATAAATCGATCGAAATCACGGCCCACCAACTCGGAGCTGTTCTATTAAAGGGACGGTGCCGCCAGGGCCAGCCCCCTTTAGTTTTTCTGAATTTCCCACCGGAAATGGACGACTGCGAGGTTGGTTATCCAAAGAAAAACCGTGGAAGGATTAAAACCGTTTACAAACATTTCAGGCATTATTTTTGTTGAAACATCAATTTTACGGGGGTATCAGAGCAAAATAAATCTTTTTTTAATAAATAACCGATGCGGACAGATAAGATTTTTGGATTTTTTATTATTTTTGGCATAATGCCGAAATTTCGCAATGTCGAAATTTTTCCGGGAGAATTGTCGATGTAAATTTGTACATTATCGTTTTTGGCAGCCCGAAATTATGGACTTTATTTAATTAGATGGCCTAATTGATTGGATTACTATTTAATCTAAGCGGTATAAGAATTTATAATTAAAACATTAATAATTGAAGTCTGAAATTAATTAAAATTAAAAATTAATTAATTACATTAAATAATTCATAAATTAACGAATTAATTAAATGGCGTAAGACATGGTGCAATCTACCAAATAAAATCCACAGAAACGTCCAGCCGGATTCCTTTAGAAACTTTAAATCGAAAAATACAAGTCTTTTCGAAGAATGTTTCGTAGTTTCAGGAGCCTCTACACCTGCGATATTTTTCAATTGCGAAACTGCTTCGAAGCCTCTAATTTTTATGCTTTAAAATGGCAATTTCATAGTTGGCTAGACCTAGTGGATGGCGGGGGTTGATTCTCGCGCTTCCAGGGCGCTTTAGCAGGTCAAAAAGTTGTCGAAATTCTCAAAAAAAATTAAATTATTGCGAAATTGTTTAAAACCTCACTAAAAAAGGTGAGGTTTTTTCTTCCGAGCCCCTTTAACGGCAACGAAATAATTTTTTAATTTTCCAAATTTGATGTTTCACAATTTTCCACAGAGAAAAGCATATTTTGATCAATTAGACTTCCAACGCATTCTAAAAACTAAAAAAAATCCTAATTTTGCTCAACAATTGGGGTTAAATTTCGGTGTTTCGTAAAATTTTTGGCATAAAAACTCAGCTTTAGTTTCATTTATACTTCAATCGTTCAATGCATTTATTTATCTTTGAATTATAAAAATTATAAATGTTTAATTATTTCTGAATAATAAAAATTAACTATTTCACTTTATAGTTATTTTCGTTAAAAAAGAGAGCATACCTTTCTCTCGAGATTTTTATTGGCCGTTTCGCCTGGGAAAATTTGTATTCAGCGGGGATAGATTATTGATTTTCGCGGGCTAGGGGGTCCTTTTTGAGGGCAATGCCCTGGAATCCGCATTCTTACTATTGACGGCCGGAATGCCCGAAAAATCCGCACACAAATCGTCAATATTCCGGAAAAATACCATCTCCGGGCAGTGTCGATGTGTCTTTTTGGGATTTCGATCATTGGTGCCCGAATTGCACGTTCAGAATCGGCTGCCACGGCTCAGTATCGCGTTGGAATATTCGGAGAAGGAGACCACGCTCAATTTTTACATTAAAAAAGTAGGTTTTTGAAATTTTTACCAAGAATCTCTGCTAGCCTGCCCTCCTCTCGGGGTCCGTCCATTTCCTCCTCCAATCTCTGCTAGCCTGCCCTCCTCTCGGGGTCCGTCCATTTCCTCCTCCAATCTCTGCTAGCCTGCCCTCCTCTCGGGGTCCGTCCATTTCCTCCTCCAATCTCTGCTAGCCTGCCCTCCTCTCGGGGTCCGTCCATTTCCTCCTCCAATCTCTGCTAGCCTGCCCTCCTCTCGGGGTCCGTCCATTTCCTCCTCCAATCTCTGCTAGCCTGCCCTCCTCTCGGGGTCCGTCCATTTCCTCCTCCAATCTCTGCTAGCCTGCCCTCCTCTCGGGGTCCGTCCATTTCCTCCTCCAATCTCTGCTAGCCTGCCCTCCTCTCGGGGTCCGTCCATTTCCTCCTCCAATCTCTGCTAGCCTGCCCTCCTCTCGGGGTCCGTCCATTTCCTCCTCCAATCTCTGCTAGCCTGCCCTCCTCTCGGGGTCCGTCCATTTCCTCCTCCAATCTCTGCTAGCCTGCCCTCCTCTCGGGGTCCGTCCATTTCCTCAAACAATCTCTGCTAGCCTGCCCTCCTCTCGGGGTCCGTCCATTTCCTCAAACAATCTCTGCTAGCCTGCCCTCCTCTCGGGGTCCGTCCATTTCCTCAAACAATCTCTGCTAGCCTGCCCTCCTCTCGGGGTCCGTCCATTTCCTCCTCCAATCTCTGCTAGCCTGCCCTCCTCTCGGGGTCCGTCCATTTCCTCCTCCAATCTCTGCTAGCCTGCCCTCCTCTCGGGGTCCGTCCATTTCCTCCTCCAATCTCTGCTAGCCTGCCCTTTCAGGTAGTCGATGCTCCACTCGTCACCTACACACATGAACTTGTGTCCAAAGCTCGGATCTATGTCGTTAAAGGTACTAGGAAGGCAAAATTCAAAACTATTATTTTTGTATAGTATAGTATAGTTGTATAGTATCTGACCAGGTACCTTAGATACCGTATATATTTTCAGGTGTGGGTCGTCGGACGTGGATGGGACGGCACCGGACAATTACTGAAGAGGTACGAATTCTCAGCATGGTGGAGGCCTGGGAAATTGATTTCGAACAAGCCGCAATAATCATGGCGTAATCGCATCTTTAAATCCTGTTAGGGCTTTACGTTATCTTTAAGTCAAAAAAATATGGAGAAAACACGGGGGGTTTTTCTAACACTCATTATTTCTAATATTTAAAATTACTGTGGTATTTCGTGAGTGCCATTCGATAGAGCGTCGAAAAATGCCTTCAAAGAATTGTTTACGGTACGAAAAAATGTAATATAAAAGTTTTATGACATAAAAACGATGGCTGAAAACTAACTAAGGGCGGCACATAGGATACCGGGGGAGGCGATATTTTCAGATTTTCGGTATTTTCAATATTTCGAAAATACCTTGGATACAAGGCGGAAAGATCTTCTAAGAGCTTTTCACAGCTCGGAAAAGGCATATTAGGAACCATTTTTATTTGTATAAACTGGAATTAAAATTTCCGTCGATAACGATGTTTCAAAGCACGGGCCTCCCGAAAATATCGGCAAAATTTTAATGGGGGGAAGAGAAAAAAAGTCTGCTGTAATTTCTTTCTTTAGGAAATCCTTGGCACACGGCCAACGATCTGGGAGACGTTGACGGTACGCCGGTGCGAGACGACCATTTTTAACGAATTCTTCTCGTGCCCCCTCGACGCGACGCTTTTTCATAGGACTATGTTACGGTAGGGCAGATTACGGGGGTTTAAGGAATTAACTAAAATTTTGGTCTTGAAACGGGAAGAGTCGTTTGCTATCGGTTCTGCCGCGCCGCGACACGCAACGCATGCCACGAACCGCAACGCGCGACGAAACGCACGTAACGCGACACGCAACGCATGGAGCGCGACACGACGCAACGCGATACGCAATGCGCTTAACGGAGCGCGACACGCAACGCATGCAATGCGATACGCAACGCGCGCAACGTAACGTCACGGGATGCACCGAACGCGACACGCAGCATTCGCAACGCCGCACGCAATGCGACATGCAAGGCGGCACGCAACGCGACATTCAACTCAGGCGGCGCTACGGGACGCACCGAAAGCGACACGCATCGTATGCATCGCGACACGAAACGCACGCAACGCGACACGCGTCGTATGCAACGCGACACGTAACGCACGCAGCGCGAACGCGATACGCTACCGGACGCACGTAACGCGACAGGCAACGCACGCAACGCGAAACGAAACGCAACACACGCGACACGCAATGCGTCACGCAACGCAAGCTCAGGGCACGTTGCGTGGCGCGGAGATTGAGAAAGAATTTTATAGTTAACGGAAAAGTGCCTTCACCCGTTGCGTGTCGCGTTGCGCGTCGCTCCCTTTAATATATCAATATATCAGATTTGGCCCGTTTCTTAGAACTTTTCTCAAAATCCCATACATTTCCAAATATTTGACGGAGAGGTGTCGAAAATTACCGCTTTATTTTTGGACTAGCGGAAAGGATTTTGAAAAAATGTATAGGAAATCGAGAAAAGTTCTAAGAAATGGGCCAATTTTCATGAGTCCATATCTCAGCCATCCAATGTCCAATTTTGATGCTCTCAACATCTAACGATATCTACTCCTCGAGGGCTATCGATCGGCGTTAAAGGTATCGCATGCAAATGTCTCTATGCAGAGATAACTTGCAAAAACACTT